GGCAGAAAATTAGGGAAGTGAGGTCCGTGGAAAAATCCCGGAACCCCGACGGGTCGGACCGAAACCCATTGGGAGAGTTCTTTTGGAATTATCCTGCAACGTACCCAACCCTTTCTACACAAGTGACAAGTGCATTCAGGACCATTCAATACCGAATGACATGTCGGCGTCATGGTATAGTGGTGATCTGCGCAGGACGTACCTCTGCTGAGCCTCCCAGAAGCCCATGCGCGCCAGGTGAGCCAAGCGCGCCAGGCGCGCCAGGTGCGCCAGGTGCGCCAGGTGCGCCAGGTGCGCCAGGTGCGCCAGGTGCGCCAGGTGCACCACGTGCGCCACGTGCGCCAGGCGCGCCAGGCGCGCCAGATGCGCCAGGCGCGCCAGGTGCACCAAGTGTGCGCCAGGTGTGCGCCAGGTGTGCGCCCGGTGAGCCAGGTGCGCCATGTGCGCCCACCGCGCCAGGTGCGCCAGGTGCGCCAGCTGCGCCAGGTACCCAGGTGCGCCAGGCGCGCCAGGTGCGCCAGGTGCGCCAGGTGCGCCAGGTGCGCCAGGCGCGCCAGGCGCGCCAGGTGCGCCAGGTGCGCCAGATGCGCCAGGCGCGCCAGGTGCGCCAGGTGTGCGCCAGGTGTGCGCCAGGTGTGCGCCAGGTGCGCCTAGCGCGCCAGGTGCGCCAGGTGCGCCAGGTGCGCCAGGTGTGCCAGGTGCGCCACATGCGCCAGATGCGCAGGGTGCGCCAGTTGTGCGCCAGCGCCAAGTGCGCCAGTTGCGCCAGGCGCGCCAGTTGCGCCATGCGCGCCAGGCGCGCCAGGTGCGCCAGGTGCGCCAGGTGTGCCAGGTGCGTCAGGTGCGCCCAGCGCGCCAGGTGCACCAGGTGCGCGCCAGGTGCGCCTAGCGCGCCAGGTGCGCCAGATGCGCCAGGCGCGCCAGGCGCGCCAGGTGCGCCAGGTGCGCCAGGCGCGCCAAGTGAGCCAGGTGTGCGCCAGGTGCGCGCCAGGTGCGCCAGTTGCCCCAGGTGTGCCAGGTGCGCCAGTTGCGCCAGGTGCGCCAAGTGCGCCAGGTGCGCCATGTGCGCCAGGTGCGACAGGTGCGCCAGGTGCGCCAGGTCTGCGCTAGATGCGCCCAGCGCGCCAGGTGCGCCACGTGCACGAGATGCGCCAGGTGCGCCAGGTGCGCCAGATGCGCCAGGTGCGCCAAGTGTGCGCCAAGTGTGCGCCAGGTGTGCGCCAGGTGTGCGCCCGGTGTGCCAGGTGCGCCAGGTGCGCCCAGCGCGCCAGGTGCGCCAGGTGCGCCAGATGCGCCAGGTGTGCGTCAGGTGCGCCAGGCGCGCCAGGTGCGCCAGGTGCGCCAGGTGCGCCAGGCGCGCCAGGCGCGCCAGTGCGCCAGGTGCGCCAGGCGCGCCAAGTGAGCCAGGTGCGCCAGGTGTGCGCCAGGTGTGCGCCAGGTGCGCCTAGCGCGCCAGGTGCGCCAGGTGCGCCAGGTGCGCCAGGTGCGCCAGGTGCGCCAGGTGTGCCAGGTGCGCCAGGTGCGCCAGATGCGCAAGGTGCGCCAGGTGCGCCAGGTGTGCGCCAGGTGCGCGCCAGGCGCGCCAGGTGCGCCAGGTGCGCCCATTGCGGGAGGCGCGCCAGGTGCGCCAGGTGCGCCAGGTGCGCTAGGTGCGCCAGGTGCGCCAGGTGTGCCAGGTGCGTCAGGTGCGCCCAGCGCGCCAGGTGCACCAGGTGCGCGCCAGGTGCGCCAGGTGCCCCAAGCGCGTCAGGTGCGCGCCAGGTGCGCGCCAGGCGCGCGCCAGGTGCGCCAGTTGCGCCAGGTGCGCGCCACGTGTGCGCCAGGTGCGCGTCAGGTGCGCCAGGTGCGCCAGTCGCGCCAGGTGTGCCAGGTGCGCCAGTTGCGCCAGGCGCGCCAAGTGAGCCAGGTGCGCCATGTGCGCCAGGTGCGACAGGTGCGCCAGGTGCGCTAGGTGCGCCAGGTGCGACAGGCGCGCCAGGTGCGCCAGGTCTGCGCTAGGTGTGGCAGGCGCGCCAGGTGCGCCCAGCGCGCCAGGTGCGCCAGACGCACCAGGTGTGCCAAGTGTGCGCCAGGTGCGCGCAAGGTGCGCCAGGTGCGCCAGTTGCATCAGGCGCACCAGGCGCGCCAGGTGCGCCAGGTGCGGCAGGTGCGTCAGGTAGGCCCAGCGCGCCAGGTGCGCGCCAGGTGCGCGCCAGGTGCGGCAGGTGCGCCTGGTGCGCCAGGTGCGCCAGGTGCGACAGTTGCACCAGGCGCGCCAGGCGCGCCACGTGCGCCAGGTGCGCCACGTGCGGCAGGTGCGTCAGGTGCGCCCAGCGCGCCAGGTGCGCCAGGTGCGACAGGTGCGACAGGTGCGCCAGGTGCGCCACGTGTGCGTCAGGTGCGCCAGGTGCGCGCCAGGTGCGCCCAGGAACCCACGAAAGTGGCGACAGTTGCGCAGATCGCAGCCCCGCAGGGGACAGGGGGGCCTCAAAGTGATTTGCGTATGACGTAACTCCGCTGGGCCTCCCAGGGGCCCACGAAAGTGGCGACAGTTGCGCAGAAAGCAGCCCCGCAGGGGATAGGGAGGCTTCAAAGTCATTTGCGCATGACGTACCTCCGCTGGGCCTCCCAGGAACCCACGAAAGTGGCGACAGTTGCACAGATCGCAGCCCCGCAGGGGACAGGGGGGCCTCAAAGTGATTTGCGTATGACGTACCTCCGCTGGGCCTCCCAGGAACCCACGAAAGTGGCGACAGTTGCGCAGATCGCAGCCCCGCACGGGACAGCCAGGAGCCCACGAAAGTGGCGACAGTTGCGCAGATCGCAGCCCTGCAGGGCACCGCGAACACAGGAGAGGAGGAGGAGAGGGCGGGAAGTGGATACCACAGTGCTTTATTCAAAACGAGTACCCAACACAAGGAGGGTTGGGAAAAAGAGCCAAAACTAAAACCGATAGGGTCTGGCACGCCAGGCACCCTTTGCTGAAGCAAAAGGGGGCGGCGGATCGAAGACGCCTACGGCGAATCACCGCCGCCCCCTGCCTTTTTGGAAGCGCCTATGTGGCCGAACGTTGAGGCCAGACCTGCCAAGCTATCGGACCACGTGTTCCCCGAATCGGTTTGGAAAGCCTTCGGGGAACACGTGGGCATCTTGAAGGTCATCTTGGCCGTCTTGGAGGCCTCTTGGGCAAGCTTTGGGCGATCTTTGGGGCTTTTTGGGCCGTCTCGGGCCAGCTTCGAGCCAACTTCGGCCATCTTGGTGGGTTCCTGGCACGTCTGAAGCCGTCGGAAGCCGTTTGGGGGGCCTCTATGGGCCGATTTGGGCCAGCTTCGAGCCAACTTCGGCCATCTTGGTGGGTTCCTGGCACGTCTGACGCCGTCGGGAGCCGTTTTGGGGGCCTTTCTGGGCCAACGGGGGACCCTCTTGGGGCGCTCCAGGGCCGTCTTGGAGGCCATCTTGGGCGTCTTGGAGGCCATCTTGGGCGTGTTGGAGGCCTCTTGGGCCGTCTTGGGGCCCTCTAGGGGCCATCTTGGAGGCCACTTGGGCCATCAGGGGGCTCTCTTGGGGGCCTCTTGGGCGATCTTGGGGGCTTCTTGGGCCGTCTTGAGCCGTCGGAGAGCCGAAAAGGCGCAAATGCCAAAATCCTTCAAAAACCAATGGAAAATCAATGATTTTGGCCTCTTCGGACTCTCCTGGAGGACCTCTTGGAGGCCTCTTGGGCCGTCTGGGAGGCCTCTGGGGGGCCTCTTGGGCCGTCTTGGGCCGTCTTGGACTCTCTTGGGCCGTTTTGGAGGCCGTCTTGGACCATCTCGGGCGGACTTGGAGGCCATCTTGGGCCATCTTCGCGATTTGTTGAGGATGTCCCGAGCGAAACGGCCGTTTTTTGGAGGATTTTTTCGGGTCGTTGAGCACGTTTGGGGATTTTCCGGGTGGCCGGCGGGTTCTGCCGGAGCCCACTGGGGAGTTCTTTTGGAAAAAGAACCAAAACCAAAACCTGACAGCTCATCCAGCACGCCGTGCACCCCTGCAAGCAGGGGGCGGCGGATCTAGTGGCTTTCGGCCTTTCCCGCCACCGTGCCTGAATTGTGGTCCAGAGGCATCTTGGATGCCTGTCGGGGTCTCTCCGGAAGCCTTTCGGGGGCTTCTTACGACCATCAACTGACCATCCAGGACGAAAGCCGCTCCCCGTGAAGGGCTTGTGAGCTCGGGGACCCTCCTACTGAAAGAATCACAACGTCGAATGTCTGGGGAGTGGGCCATAATCTTGCTCCTCCGCCTCCTTTTCCTTTTCCTCCTCCTCCTCCTGCTCCTCCCTCCTGCTTAGAAACACATCCTCCCTTCCTCGGTCCTTCTTTCGGTCTCCACCAAGAGGGCAGCACATCCCTTCTTCCTTTCTCCAGAAGTCCGATTGTATCGCAGCGTAGGCCCCTAAGACCCTTCGACGCTTTGGACGAAGCAGGCGGCGAAAAACTGCTGGAGCGATTATTTGTTTTGCGACGCCCAGGGGTCTGTGCCCAGAGGTTAATTAGGGTCTCCCCCTTCTAGGTTGTTGTTCTTGCGAGGTGAATTTCAGCATCGACCCTGGCCTTCCCTCGATTGGAATATCTAGCGCGACCTGGCCTGATCTGGCCCCGTCTACTGAATAATCTGGCCTGACGTGGGACCGAAGCTGGCTTCATCTGGCGTGACCTCGCCCACGAAGTCCCTCGAGTAGTTGCCGCCAGGCTCCTCCCCCCTCCCCCTCTCCCCTCGCGACCTGCCGGCGGACACGACTGGGAAGGGCTGGGTGGGGGGAGGCACGGTGTTCCTCCTCCTGCTCCCCCTCGTGTTCCGAGCGCGAGTGACGTGAGGCCCCTCCTTCTGCCCCCCCTCTTTGTTACTTAAAGCTGTGCGCAGCCCGCTTAGCTTCGACCGGAAGGGGGTGCGCTCTCGGCCCGCGAGTCAAAAAAGTTCCGAGCGCGCCCGGCCTGCCCCCCGGGGGCCGCCCTGCTCAGGAGAGCCTGACCCCGGCCGTCCTGGCGATGCCCCACCACGCCGCGCTCATGGCCCGGCTGGACCGCGCTGGCCGGCCGGGGAAGGGAAAGCGACCTCGCACCGGGCGAGTTCCACGTTTCGCGGAGTGCCTATATTCGCAAGCGTCCGAGCAACAAAATGTGTTCCTCGGTGTCGTGTATCGTGAGTCCCCCTGCGGCGGATCCAGGCCGTTTGCGAGCAGCTACTCTGCGACTCGTGGAACGCGCTTGTCCAATTTCGGGGGCGACAAAGAGGGAGGTGATGACCAGGGGAGAGGAGATCATGGCGGGGGCCATGAGATCTCCCCAGATTTCATGGCGCCTCTTCTAATGCCATTGCGTCCCCAGCCTCCCCCCCGGGGCCGCGCACATGCCGCCGTCCATGATTTGCGCCCTCCCTTCTTGGACGCCACCAGCGATTCTAGGCCTGCTAGATGGGGTCGAAATAGATGGGGTCGGGGGATCGCGCCGCATCGCCGATGCGTCGCCGATGCGGCTCGATGCGGAGCTCGATTTGCTTCACGTCGACGTCGCCGATGCATCGACCACGTCCACCATGCATCGTTGCATCGTTGATGCATCGCCGATGTATCGGCGATGCGGCGCGATCCTCCGACCCTGCCCACTCCGACCCTTTCTTAGGAGGCCTCCAGCGATTGCCCAGGGCGTCCGCGGGTCTGTCGTCGAAAACCAAAAACAAGCAGGAACATCAACTTTCGACGGTCCGCGCGGATTTCTTGGATCTTCGCTGGGCCCTCGTGGCGACGCCTCCGGCCCCGCCCCTGGCGCGCTCCGCGCGCCAGGGCTTGGGGTCCAGCGCCGATCCAAGAAGTCCGCGCCGATCCAAGAAGTCCGCGTGGACTCTCGAAATGCTATGCCTGAGCAGGTTGTCGTTGCTCCAGGTCCTGTTCGGCTGCGTCGTAGTCGGCTGCATTCGGTGGGTTCGGTTCGGTCGGTTGCCGCGCCTCCTTGTCATGCTAGGCTGCGTTGAGCCCATCGGTGACGGTTGGTTTCGGTGTCACTACGGTGGGGGCGTTCGTTAAGGAGTGTGCCCAGTAGGCTGCAGACCCTGGAGAGTTCCTTACTTGATGAGGGCGGCGGTGATATCCATGGCCGATCCACGATGGGAGATCCACCAGCTTCCAGACCCTGGAATCCTTATCGAAGGGTTCCTTGTCCAATGCCCCCACCGTATCGGCAGAGTCCATCTTCGATGTTGGTGTCGCCTGGGGCGTCTCAGCTCACCACCGCCCGAGGTGCTCACCACCGCCTGTGGCGGTTCCTTGTTTTGGAGGTGGAAAATCAGAGGCAGAGGCAGCGGGAACTCAAGAAATCGACCCCAGGCTTGGGCTCCCCCTCAGAATCTGCCTCTTTCCCGAAGCGCGTTCTGATCAGAGTTCCGAGAAGAACTCAGCCTTGGCGCCTTGGCCCCCCAGGAAGGTCCCGAAGCTGACGCTGTGGCCCCACAGGAGGCCCAAACATGGAGGGTTGTGCCCGCTTCCTGGCTTTCCAGCGTCACGATTTTTGCGTGGCGCAGGCCCTTGGAGTGGTCGCTGCCTTCGCAGGGGCGTTTTTTTGTGTATCAGGACGTTTGCTTCACAGCGTCGAGGCACGAGACGGGCCTCCAGGTGCCCTCGCTTAATGGACAATTTGCCCGCTCCCATGTGTTCGCAACGCCGGAGATTGGGTTCTCTTTCCTTCGTCAGGCCCTTGGGCCCGATGTTCGAGGCGGATCCAGGCCGTGGCCGCGGGGGATCCCCTGGAGGCCCGGGAGACGTCCCAAAATCTCTACCCTCGGATTTCTTTCTCTTCCTCCTCCCCCCCTCCTGAACTCCACCCTCCTCCTCTATTCTCGAGCATCTTCGAAAATCCTCCCGAGTCTTGATCGTCAAACGTCGGAGTGAAAGGGAGGGGTATGAGGAGGCGGAGGAGGGAGGAAGAAGGGGAGGAGAGGGAGGGGTTAGGGGAGAAAGAGAAATGAGGAGGAGAGAGGAAGGTCCGGGGTGTGAGGATGGACGGGGAAGGGCGAGAGGCGGATCGGAGGCCTCGAGCATCCTCCTCATCCTCGATCCTCCAACAAGATGATGGTAATAATACCCTCGAACCAGGCCAGCGCGAGGCGGCGCTGAAGATGATCACCGCCGTGCTCCACGGGGACGTCCCGCTGGTGGACCGCCCGACCGTGCAGCGTCTCCTCGCGCTCTGCGACAGGCGATCTATCCTCGCCGTCGTTGTGGTAATCGCTGCCGCGCCGTCGTCGTCTTCGACCATCCCCCGTGGCTTCTATGCCAAGTCTGGGCCTCTAGGCATCCGCTTCAGGCCACGGTCGGATGAGGCAGAAGTCACCGTGATGATGCGTTCCAAGATTTCCAGGGCTTCCCGTCGCCCCGCGCGCGCTCCACGACGGAGGACCATGATACCCCAGAAATCCTGGAGCGCATCCCGAGCCAGTCGCATTATGACAGCATCCTCGTCCTACATTCGAGGGAAGAAGGCCAGTTGAGACAAGGGCGGCTTTCCCGCCTGGCCCGACTCCCCTCAAAATCGGCCCCTGGACCTTTCTGGGCCATCATGAATTACATTTTTCGAGGCGGATATCCAGCCGTGGCGACGAGAAGCCTCCAGGAGGCCCAGGGGTGGCGAAGCCCGGGAGGGGAGGGCCGCCGTTTTCTAGACAAGTCCGCCCCCTCCTCCTCTTCCTCCTCCTCCTCCTCCTCCTCTTCCTCTCTTCCTCCTCCTCCTTCTCCTCCTCCTCCTCCTTTTCTTCCTCCTCCTCTTCTTCCTCCTCCTCCTCCTCTTCCTCTCCTCCTCCTCCTCCTCCTCCTCCTCCTCCTCCTCCTCCTCCTCCTCCTCCTCCTCTTTCTCCTCCTCCTTTTCTTCCTCCTCCTCCTCCTCCGCGTCCTCCTCCTCCTGCTCCTCCTCCTTATCCCCCTCCCCCCTCCTCCTCCTCCTCCGCGTCTTCCTCCTCCTCTCCTCCTCCTCCTCCTCCTCCTCCTCCTCCTCTCCCCCCCCCCCCCCTCCTCCTCCGCGTCCTCCTCCTCCTCCTCCTCCTCCTCCTCCTCCTCCTTCTCTTCCTCCTCCTCCTCCTCGTCCGCCTTCTCCTTCTCCTCCTCCTGCCTCCTCCTCCTCCCCTCCTCGCCCCCCTCCCCCATCCTCCTCGCTCTCTGGAACAAGCACGTCTAGGGTGCAAGCTGGCCCCAGGGCCAGGGGCTGAGAGCCGCCGGGGGCGAGGGGCCCGAGATGCGGCAGAGCCGTGGCGTCAGCACAGTGGTTTTGTCACCCTCTGGGCCACATTGCGCGCTATGCTCAGGAGGGGAAAAAACACAATTGATCGTCGATTCCCAAGAAAATACGGGAAAATATGGAAATTCAGCGGGAAGACAAACACCCAGAAAATATTGGCAAATATGTGGAATCCTTTTATTTGTGTGTATTTATTTGTGTGTCCTTGGGCTCCTTCATATGCCCCCCCCTCTCCCCCCATAACCCTAGGCCTCCTAGATGGGGTCGGAGTAGATTGGGTCTGAGGATCGTGCCGCATCGCCGGTGCGGCTCGATGCGGAGCCCGATTTTCTTAACGGAGACGTCGCCAATGCATCGCCGACGTCGCCGATACATCGCTGGTGCATCGTCGATGCATCGCCGATGCATCGCCGATGCGGCGCGATCCTCCGACCCCATCTGCTCCGACCCCATCTGGGAGGCCTCTAATAACGTACCGCTCCCCCCCCCACACACAGTCTGCCGCAGTGCGTCCAGCACCACAGCCTGCGTTGCTGGACCCACACGGCGGGCGGGGGGGGGTCGTTGCGTTATGCTTCCCCCGCTCCGCCCCCCCATCCTCCACCCCCCATAGCGCCCGCTATCGCCGCAAACAGAAACGTGCTCTCCAGGAGCTTTGGGGACTTGAGCGCCCAAGGCTCGCATCGGCCACACGTCAGAAGTAAGACTGACCCCTCGCTGGAGTTTTCGTCAGCTCCTGGGTGCGCTCCAGCAGCTGCCCTCGGACGTCTTCTGATCCCCTCGGGCGCCGACTGTAAGGATGGGCAATCTTCCCAAGGGTACCCTTGCATTAATGCCTCCTCGGTCCACCCTTGGCCGCTTCTGCTGGCCGAGCCCCGCCCGCGAAGTGTCGGCGCGGTCTTCTTCCAAGGCCCTTGCATCCTTGTCGTGCGTCCTTGTGATGCGGTGGGGGCGTTCCTTAAGGAATGCGTCCAGGAGGCTTCAGACCCTGGAGAATTCTTTGTCCGATGAGGGCAGCGGTGATATCCGTTCCGTGGCCAAGCCTCAAGTAATGTTCCACAAGCTTCCAGACCTTGGATTCCTTACCTAAGGGTTCCCTATCCAATGGCCCCACCGTACGGGTCGACCGTACAGTCGGGGCGCTGAGGAAGGAACCGTTTTCGTTGGGGAGGGGCTCGGTGTTACTTGATTGTTTCACAGCTTGCCCAAGGTTTTCCTTGGGCTTTCTATGGGAAGCCGAAGTGTTTAGTTTATGGATAAAAGGGGCCTCGTTCCTTATTTAGGGTTCCTTAGGTCAACGTCCCGACTGTAAGAGCGGCCCCTCGCCGGAGTGACCCGTGGTCCGCAGCGCCCGCAGGGCGGGGGGGGGGGACAGGCCCGAGCACGCGGGCCCCTGCTGCCGCAGCTGGTGTGAAGCCACCGGCAGGCCGCGCAGCACGGAGGTCCACCCTGGCGCGGTCAGGGGCAACGATATGGGGGGGGATAGGCATGCATCGGATATAGCCAGGACCCAAGGTAAGGTGATCCGGTTAGTGGTAGGGCCTCGGAGCCCCTACTTTGGCCAGAATCATTCAACCGGGTTTGCCGTAGCTCGTGTTTTTTCGGGTGACGATAGTTCCGGTTAGTGGAACGGGGCTGAGGGGCGTCCCCAGTACACATCGCTAAACCAGGTCCTACTAAACCCAGTTCTACCAACGCCCGAATACAGTCGGGGCCATGAAGAAGGAACCCTTTTCGTTGGGGAGGGGCTCCGTGTTCCTTGATTGCTTCGCAGTTTGCCGTGGGTTTTCCTTTGGTTTTCGATGGGAAATCGGAGTTCAACTTGTGGATAGAAGGGGCCTCATTCCTTCTTTATCGGGCGAAGAGAACTATGCACATGCACCGATCCTGGCAAGGCCCATCCTTGACCCAGGATCGGTGCATATGCCTTCCTGGCCAAGGTAGGAGGGCGTATGCACCGATCCTGGGCTCAGGATGGGCCTGGCCAGAATCGGTGCATGTGCATAGTTTTTTTTCCTCTAAGAAGGGGCCTCATTCCTTCTTCAGGGTTCCTTGGGCCAACGCTCCGATTGCAGGGGGGGGCGCGTCGACCCCGAATCGCCCATAGATCGCCGATAGGGGTTTGATAGCCCCACCCCGCTCAGCAGCGTGCGGAGCCGCTATCGGTAGAGGAATGAGAACTATGCACATGCACCGATTCTGGCCAGACCCATCCTGAGCCCAGGATCGGTGCATACGCCCTCCTGCCTTGGCCAGGAAGGCATATGCACCGATCCTGGGTCAAGGATGGGCCTTGCCTGGATCAGTGCATGTGCATAGTTCTCTTCGCCCGAATCGGGGGCCCATCGCCGGTCTATCGGCGATGTATCGCCGATTCCAGGTCGATGCATCCCCCCTATGCCAGTCCCTCCCTACTGTTGCCCCTCATCGCCCTGACGTGGGGCCAGTCTTCCCGCGAACAACTCCGACTTCCAGATCACAGAGCCTCCAGACGTCAAAGAGGGCAAAGCGCCATGAACGTAAACTTTTGGCACTCCGCGCGCCGAAGGTTTCTGCTTACAGTCGGGGCGCTGAAGAAGGAACCCTTTGCGTTGGGGAGGGGCTCTGTGTTCCTTAATTGTTTCGCAGTTTGCCTTGTGTTTTCCTTTGGTTCTCTATGGGAAATCGAAACTGAACTTTTGGAAGACAAGGGGCCTCGTTCCTTACTTAGGGTTCCTTAGGTCAACGCTCCGACAGTATGCCGTTTTTTGCTCCTCTAAGCCAGGCTGATACGCGACCGGGGCGGCGAGGACAACGATGCTGCTCCTTCCCGACCTGGCGACATGCAGCACCTGGAGCACGACCCCGACGCGTTCGCGGCGGAGCAGGTCCTGGTAGCGCGCCTGGTGCACCAGGTCGCTGCCCAGGGCCGAGCCCCTCGATCGGGCACTCCTGAACACGCCCTCCTAGCATCGGAGGGATCTGGACTGGTACTGACGTCTTTGGCTCACGTAGGGCCTCTGCGGAGGCCTGGGAGGACTTCCGGACCCTTTCGCGGAGACTTCCGGAGGCACTAGAGGTTTCTCAGGGCCGCCCACATCCTCTCCAACCTCTCCTGCAACCATGGCCCTTCCACCCCTCACCTCTGACTGCCCTCCACTCCTCACCACCGTTCCCCGTTTCCTCAGCTTCTCCTTCACCTTCTTTTTCGCCTCGCATCCGCCTCCTCCTCCTCCTCCTCCTCTTCCTTTCCTCCCCCATCCTCCCCTCTCCCGTGCCCTTCCTCCCGTCCACATTTATCTTGCCTTCGTTCTATTTTCCCTTCTTGCCTCCGTTCTCTTCCCGTCCGTTCTGTTTCCCCTTGCAGGGGAAGGCGGGGGGTGCAGAAGCAGGGGAGAGGGGGAAGCAGGAGGCAGAGATCCCAGACAGGATTCATGACGGGCAGGTGAAGAAGCAGGAAACTTGTGGTGGTGGTGAGGAGGAGGAGAAGGAGGATGAGGAGGGGGAGGAGGAGGAGGAGGAGGAGGAGGAGGAGGAGGAGGAGGAGGAGGAGGAGGAGGAGGATGAGGATGAGGAGACGGGGAGGAGACGGCGGAGGAGGAGGAGGAGGAGGAGGAGACGGAGGAGGAGAGACGGAGGAGGAGGAGGAGGAGGAGGAGGAGGAGAGGAGGAGGAGGAGGAGGTGGTGGTTGACGAGGAGGAGGAGGAGGAGAAGGAGGAGGAGGAGGAGGAGGAGGAGACGGAGAAGGAGAAGGAGAAGGAGGAGGAGCAGGAGGAAGAGGAGGAGCAGGAGGAGGAGGAGGAGCAGGAGGAGGAGGAGGAGGAGGAGGACTGTCACAGTCTGAGGGGGGAAGGCAAAAGTTGAGCTTGCTCGTGCCAAACCTCGATGCGAAACCTGGGAAGGCAAACGGGTGGTCGACCCGACCCAACCCGATGCCGTAGTCTCCGATGGCCACGGCATCGTCCTCGTCACTCCTTGGCCCGTGCGCGGGCCCCTCCGCTGCAGCCCCCTCCACTGGGAAGCTATGCGGCGGGGATGGGAGGAGGAAGACCTTCTGACCATGCTCGACCTCCTGGGACCATCTTTGGGGGTAGGAGGAGTAGGAGGAGGAGGAGGAAGAGGAGGAGGAGGAGGAGGAGGAGAGGAGGAGGAGGAGGAGGAGGAGGAGGAGGAGGAGGAGGAGGAGGAGGAGGAAGAGGTGGAGGTGGAGGTGGAGGAGGAGGAGGTGGAGGTTGAGGTGGAGGTGGAGGAGGAGGACGACGAAGGGGAATCGGAGGAGGACGAGGAGGAGAAGGACTGCTCAAAGGGGACCAGGGGAGAAGAGTGGGGAGGAAGAGGAGGGAAAAACGGGCATAAGGGGAGACGAGCGAGGATGATGATGATGATGATGATGATGATGATGATGATGATGATGATGATGATGCTGATGATGATGATGATGATGATGATGATGATGATGATGATGGTGGTGGTGGTGATGGTGGTGGTGGTGGTGGTGGTGGTGGTGGTGGTGGTGATGATGATGATGATGATGATGATGATGATGATGATGATGATGATGATGATGATGGTGATGATGAGGAGGAGGAGGAGGAGGGGTGCACGCGGCAGTGTCACGATCAGGGTGTCAGGACACGCGGCCTTGGATTTGTCCAGGCGACACCGAGCGGGCTCCTCCCAGCCTCTTGGGCATATGCGTGCGCCTTGGGGCGTTTCGTCGGCGACTCAGAACGAAAAGGAGGTAGTGAATGATGAGGAGGAGGAGGAGGACGGTGATGATGATGATGATGATGATGATGATGTTGATGATGTTGATGTTGATGAAGATGATGATGATTATGCTGATGATGCTGGTGGTGCTGATGTCATCTATGATGATGATGACGATGGTGATGATGATTGCAGATGGTACTGATGATGCTGATTATGCTGATGATGATGCTGATGATGCTGATCATGATGATGCTGATGATGGTGATGTTGATGATGGTGATGATGATGATAATGATGATGATGATGATGATGATGATGATGATGATGATGATGATGATGATGATGATGATGATGATGATGATGATGGTGGTGATGGTGATGGTGGTGGTGGTGATGATGCTGATGATGATGCTGATGCTGATGCTGATGATGATGACGATGATGAGGAGGATGAGGATGATGATGAGGATGAGGATGAGGATCGGGATGAGGATGAGGATGATGATATTTGTGCCCCACGGTTCTGACCCGACCTCGTCATCCGTTCTCCGCTCTATAGCGCTTTTTGGTTCAGGACAGGAAGTTTATGGAAGCTCTGCTCCTCAGCTTCTCAGTGCTTCGCGAGCTTGCGTTTCTCCTCCGCACTCTCCTGTGGCCCGCACCCGTCGAGTGTGTCTGCGAGGCACCACCCCCAGTGGCCACCGCCAGCGGGGAGTGCCACCTCTTGGCGGAGTTGGTCGGCCGTGCGGGCCAGTGTGTCTGCCAGTGTGACTGCCACTGCCACACCGAGAGCGTTGAGGGGTTCGGCCTTCTGCGCGTGCTCGGGCTTCTGACGACCTGCTCACTCACGGCCTTTGTGTTCGGGGTGTTGTTCGGCCGCAGTCTGGGGCGCACGAGTTCGAGTCCTTCTTCATCGGTCGACGACACCGTCTTGACATTCACGTGCGAGGATGGCGACATCCGCGGGATTCAAGGCAGCCTGCCTCGTCGAGTGGGTCCTCGTCTGCTGCTTTCAGGGCGCGGGCGGGGCGGCAGTGGGATGGCATGAGCGTGCATTGCCCTGCTACGTCAGCGGCTCTCAGTGGGTCGCGGATTCGCGGGACTTCGATATCTTCGAGGGGCTGCGGCAGGTGTTGGCCAACGTGCAGTCGCCAGTTGCTCTTCGTGGGCGTTCACACTTTCTGATCGATCACTACCAGTCCGGCGCGAGCCGCCAATACTACATGAAGATAGGGGAGGCGCTCGCGCGGGGCCTTCGGCCCGCCGCTCCGGTGGCGCCAGGCCCCGCTCCCGGAGGCGGAGGCCCAGGCGCGTTCGTCGCTGCGGAGGGCTCCGCTCCCCTGGTGGAGAAGTGGTTTGAGCTGGAGGGCCACGTTACCGTGCAGCGGGGCGACGCCTTCACGGTCGCTCTCGGGGCGGTCGAGTTCAGCGCCAACGACCAGTGCCGCTTCCAGCGGCGGGGCGGCACGGTGCTGTCCGGCGGTCTCGAGGGCACCCTGCTCGTGGCGCCTGGTGCTGCGGGAGGTGACGATTCCCACATTCTGGCCACCAAGCGGGATGGCCGGCGGCGCCCCCAGCCCAGCTTTGCGAGCGCCTTGCAGGACCTGCAGCCTGTCGGTTTCGCGGACGACTGGGAGATCGAGGGCCCGCTGTCGACTTGCTTCACGGCGGAGCGGATCCACGACGGGAACCACAGCTTCCTCCAGCAGCACTACGAGTGGCGTTCGGTGATGGGCTCGCTAGCCACCGACGTGGGCGTGGACGAGCGCCCGCTGCTGTCACCATTCATCGAGGTTGCGAGGACGGTGGACCAGGTGCAGATCGGCAATCTGGCGACGCACGAGCTGGTCAGCCGCCGGCGTCAGATGTGGGAGAGCGCCGACAAGGACCTACCTCGTGAGGCGGACATCGGCGGCTCGAACGGGGACTGGCTGAATGAGCGTTCTTTGTTCTTTGGTGTCAAGAATCTTTGGAGCAACGCCATCATCATGCCCGAGCTGGAGGATATCGTGGCGGAGGAGTTGGCCTCCCAGACCGCCGTGCTCAAGGAGCACCGCCAGTCGAGGGAGGAGGCTTCGCTGGCAAAGGGAGTTGGGATGGGACCTGCAGCGGATGACCATAAGAAGAAGCCCAGGGGTCCCAACAAAGAGCAAGAGAAGGCCTGACGGCCTGCCTTCCTCCTGCCTTGCGCCGCCGCGAGGGGGGGTGCCCCGCCTCCTCGAGGGCTTTCGTTCGGGGCTCAGGGCGGGCAGGCGGCGCCGCCCTGAGGCGTTTTCAGCTTCGTAGCAGATGAGGCAGCGCGACATCCTGCCGATCTCCCTGGCAGCCGCCTCGGAGGTCTGTGCGGGGGGTGCCAGCGGGCTGGGCTTGTCCCAGGGTCAGCGACGGCGACTTCGGCGTCGGCGGGCTCAGGAGGGGTGGCTGTTCGAGGGCATCCGCGCTCTGAACGAGTTGGGTGCTCCGCAGCCGCCTGCGACCTCGCCTGCATCGTTGACTTCAGCTCAGGTCTCGGCTGTTCGGCACCTTGCCCGACAATATGAATCGGTCGCGGCCCCCCCGCCTGACTGCGGGAGCGCCCTGGGAGCGTGGCAGTCGCTCCAGGGTTCGCGGCCCGGCTACGCGGACGATGCGATGGCCGTCGGTGCGCGTGCGAACTTCGAGCGGGGGAACGCGTCGCTTCCCGCGGGGCTTTCTGGGCGAGTATCTCTCAGTGAGCGCTTGCCGCCTGCCCTGCAGTCCGCGCTTGAAGATCGTTCAATCCTTCTGAGGATGAGGCTGCCGCCCGTCGTGGCAGTTTTGAGGGCAGCCTTTTCCTTGATCCCGTTTTGCGGGACAACCCTAAACTTGTTGGAGAGTTCGCTTCCGAACTCTGGGACGCTGGCGTTGTGGAGGTCAGCGACGACGTGCTCGAAGAAAGTGACATGTTTTTTGTTCGGAAAAAATCAGGCGCCCTTCGTCTGATTTGGGATACTCGGGTACCCAACCTTCGGTTCCGCGAGCCCCCTGGTGTGGTCTTGCTCTCCGGCGAGGCCCTTGCTCATCTCGATGCCAGCCTCATGTCATTCCCGTGCTGCACGGAGGCGACGTCGAAGTTTGCCATCGCCAGTTCGCTCTCCCTGAGCAGTACAAGTGTTTTTCTCGGTCTCCTGATCCTTCCTATTGCGCACCTGTCTTCGGCCCTCGTCGCTTCTCTGCCGGACGCGGTTCGGAAACGCGGTTGGGCTCGCCTGCGGGCCCGCGTGGTGCCTATGGGTTGGAATTGGGCCGTGGCCCCTGCACAGGCCGCTAACCAGTGCCAGCTTGATGGAGTTTCCCCCGAGGCACCGTGGCTCCTAGATAAAGTTCCGCGCCCACCTTTGGGCG